ATTTCAAATGAAGTCCCCATTCCCCAGTGCCAGATTACAAAATAGGCAGAATAGGCACCAGCCTATGGACCCCATCCCTTTTAAGGGCCCAGTGACAACGGATCAAAGTAATGCTGATTTGATCTTGAAAGAAAATTACAAAAACTTATTAGGAGATAATTTGCGATTCCCCCTCCCCAAGATTTTGAATGCCTAGGGGCCTCCACAGGGTATAATCCAGCACTGCCATTTCCCCCCTCCCTTGAGCAAATGAGTAAAAGGGTTAAAACACTGATTTATAAGATTTCTTTTTTGGAAGTCGCCCAGAGTAGCTGGGGAAGCCAGCTGGGTGGGATATAAATAAATTATTATTATTATTATTATTATTATTATTATTATTATTATTACTACTACTACTATTTTGTCCATTATTAGGGGCATATATATATATATATATCAAATATAGCTGATACAAAAGCACGACCCCTGAGATCGTTAAGTGTTTTGAGTACTTGAAAATTTAAATCTGAACTCAGAATTATAAACATAAAGCCCCCCCAACTTTGCTCTTCCTGATGCAATGTACTGAGTGTCAAACCACTTATGTTTTAATAAAGATATTTGTTGATTTACTTTGTGTACTTTACGCTGGAAGAAAATATGGGGTTGCTTTTCTGTCACATATTTGCAATATCCTGATGCTCTTATCATATCCCCCTCACCTTTCACATTAAGAGTAATAAATTTTAATACTACCATTGCTCTAATAAGAAATTTAGTTAGGCCTGGCATTAGTAACCCATGGTTGAAAATAATAATAATTAAAGGAATATAGAAAAAGAAGTGAAAGAGAAAAGAAGTGAAATCTGGATTCCAGAAAAAGGAATTCACAGGGCAATGTAACTACTCATGCAGTAAGATTGCTGTTTTAGCAACCTCATTTTCAAGCCTCTCCCCTGTCACATCAGAGTGGAAAGGGAAGATGAAAACTACAAACATTGTTACAGGTGTAACCAATAGCAAGGTGTTCTTAAACATTGCTTAGTCGTAACATTTATAATTCAAGTAACATGTCAACCAAAAAAAGGGGAACCAAGTGAAAACTGAATATATCACATACAAAAAAGAAAACAGCTTAACTACCGTATTTTTCGCTCTATAAGACACATCAGACCACAAGACGCACCTAGTTTTTGGAGGAGGAAAACAAGAAAAAAAATATTCTGAATCTCAGAAGCCAGAACAGCAAGAGGAATCGCTGCGCAGTGAAAGCAGCAATCTCTCTTGCTGTTCTGGCTTCTGTGATAGCTGCGCAGCCTGCATTCGCTCCATAAGACGCACACACATTTCCCCTTACTTTTTAGGAGGGAAAAAGTGAGTCTTATAGAGCAAAAAATACGGTACATGTTAGAAGCATTAGGCTAGACTTGTCTTCACACAAAAAGTAGCAGGCATGTGATTCAGCAAAAGCAAGTTGGAGTGAGATTGAAGAGACTGATCTGTCTTTCATACTTCTGGCTGATTAATGTATTTACAACTGTTGTACAGTGGTACCTTGGGTTACAGATGCTTCAGGTTACAGACTCCATTAACCCAGAAATAGTACCTCGGGTTAAGAACTTCACCTCAGGATGAGAACAGAAATCGCACAACAGCAGCAGGAGGCCCCATTAGCTAAAGTGGTACCTCAGGTTAAGAACAGTTTCAGGTTAAGAACGGACCTCCTGAACGAATTAAGTTCTTAACCCGAGGTACCACTGTATAAGACAATGTCTTTTGCTTTCTTGCTTTCTTTATTTAAAGGCAAAAATTGGGGGTTGTCTTAAACATTAGGGCAGGTGAGTGATTGGTGGCAGCGACCTCCCCTCTAAGAAGCTCATCAATTTTGAGCAACCTCTGCAAAAAAAAGCTGAACTCAAGAAATATTTATTTCTTAATTTGGGGTTCAAAAAAAGAGGGTTGTCTTACACACGGAAAAATATGGTACTGTGGTAGGGTTTGCAGTTTCTGTGATGGCAGCCAGGTGTTCCCTAATATCTGTGATCTGCCCCTCTGTTGGAACCAAATTCATTATGGAGAGCAATGTTGTTTTCTATCTCTTCCTCATTAGTAAGTTTTAGGGAAGCTACCATGTTGTTTTCAGTTTGGTCTTGTAAAGGGTTCCTGCTAGATTTATCTCTTTTTCTTGTCCAGAAAAAAGGAAGATAAGTTGCTGGATTTCTTTGCAATTCTGCTTCAAGGACATTACCCAAAGTCAGTCAGGCATATCTTATCTTTCCTCTGAAATTGCGTTCCGGGGGGTGGGGGAGAGATGCAGGTGTTTCTGCAGAGTGCAAGGCTGTTTTCCAACTTCGTAGGCCATGTCGCCTGCTTCTGTGGCTTCTAAAGTTCCAAAGCTTTGTTGTAGTTTATGTTGCATATTGTATGAAGCTTCTTGACTATATAATACTCTCTTGCATTAGTGCTGTCAAATTTCCAGCTCTGAGGATTTTCTCCTGATCTCTGTAGGCTTCTAAGGGCCCACCCCAAACATGAGTGGGTTCCCCCCCCCCGCAAGTGTTTGGTGAGTTGTTGCAGGGTGGAGACCCTTCCAGAGGCATCATTGTTAACAGAACCTTTTCCTCCTGCCTGGTCCACAGCAGACCATCCAGGTGTCCTGAATTAGAGAAGCTGTCCCGGTTTCTGATTTGATCCTAATCCTTAAAGGTACAGGGACCCCCGACCATTAGGTCCAGTCATGACCGACTCTGGGGTTAAGGCGCTCATCTCGTTTTATTGGCCGAGGGAGCCGGCGTACAGCTTCCGGGTCATGTATGTCCCTATTCTCATTGGAAAAATGTTGGAGGGTATGTGATCCCTGAGCCGGCCTTTGCATGAAGTAGAGTGGAAGAATCTGCTGTGGATGCTGGATCTGGACCACCTGGGAGGGGTGGCAGATCTGCCCGCTGCAGCTTGTGTCATCGCTGCCTCCTCCATCCATCTGCTCTTCTCCACTGTGCAAGCCCTTTGCTCCCCACCTGACAGCCACCTCTCTTATTGCTATGTCTTCAGAGCCTCCAGGTGTCCCTATTTTCCAGGGACAGCCCCAGATTTACAGAGGCCGTCCAGGTTTCTGATTTGATCCGGGAATGTCCTGCTTTTCCTTGGGACGTCCCTATTTTCAAGAGAGAAACGTTGGAGGATATGGAGGTTTGTGACCCCCAAGCCAAGCAGATAAGCAACCTTTAAAAGACATCTGAAGGCAGCGCTGCATAGGGACGTGTTTTAATGTTTTACAGTGGTACCTCTGGATGCGAACTAGATCTGTTCCAGAGGCCCGTTCGCAACATGAAAAGAGCACAACCCGCAGCGGCGCATCTGTGCACGCCCGAGTCGCGATTTGCTGCTTCTGCGCATGCGCGTGACGTCATTTTGTGCTTCTGCACATGCACAAGTGGCGAAACCTGGAAGTAACCCTTTCCGGTACTTCCAGGTTGCCACGGGACGTAACCTGAAAGAACGTAACATGAAGCGGACGTAACATGAGATATGACTGTATTATGTTTTTATATATGTTGGAAGCTACCCAGATTGGCTGGGGTGGAATTGAGGAGATGCTCATCAAATTTGCAGATGACGTCAAACTGGGAGGGGTAGCTAATTCAGCAGAGGCAGAATCAGAATTCAAAATGACCTTAACAGACTGGAGAACTAGGTACAAGCGAACAAAATGAATTTTAGTAGGGACAAATGTAAGGTTCTGCACTTAGGCAGGAAGAACCACATGCATAAATAGAGGATGGGGGACACCTGGCTTACTAGCAGTACATGTGAAAAGGATCTAGGGGTTTTCGTGGATCACAAGCTTAACATGAGTCTACAGTGTGATGCAGCAGCAAAAAAAACTAATGCTATTCTAGGCTGCATCAACAGAAGTATAGTTCCCAGAACAAGGGAAGTAATAGTACCACTATTCTGCCTTAGTCAGACCACACCTGGAATACTGTGTCCAATTCTGGGCACCACAATTTAAGACAGATGCTGGAACGTGCGCAGAGGAGGACAACCAAGATGATCAAGGGTCTGGAAACTAAGCCTTATGAGGAGCGCTTCAAGGAGCTGGGTATGTTCAGCCTGGAAAGGAAGAGACTGAGAGGAGATATGATAGCCATCTTCAAATCTCTTAAGGGTTGTTACATGGAGGAGAGAGCATGCTTGTTTTCTCCTGATCCGGAGAGTAGAACCAATGGCTTCAAGTTGCAAGAAAGCAGATTCCGACTAAACATCAGGAAGAACTTTCTGACAGTAACAGCTGTTCAGCAGTGGAACAGACTCCCTTGGGAGGTTGTGGACTCTCCTTCCTTGGAGGTTTTTAAACAGAGGCTGGATGACCATTTTCATGGATGGTTTAGCTGAGATTCCTGCATTTCATGGGGTTGGACTAGATGACCCTTGGGGTCCCTTCCAACTCTAAGATTCTATGATTATTATTATCATGGAATAGGACGTCCCTATTTTCAGTGGGGAAATGTTGGAAGGTAGGTGTCTCCCTATCTCGGGGGAGAGGCAGTTGGGTGCACAAACCCCTCAGCCTCCCCTCCCCCACTGTGTGCCTGTGGCAACCATAGAAAAACACACTGATTCCCCCTTTTTTCCTAGGTTGAGTATAGTTTGGTGCACGAAAGTTAAAAAGAAGAAAAGAGAAGAAAAGTCACCTTTTCACTATTGAAATGTCCTTCCTTTTATATTCAGGATTTTTGTACTTGTGTTCTTATATAGAAAGACTCTTCTATACTGTGCATGTCTTGGGAGAAGGTTTATTGTTATTAGGATAAACGATGAAACAGGACTATAAAACTAGAAGCTGCACGGTTTTTTATTTCTTCCCCAGCCCTTCCTGGAGATGCCACTGGGAAGTGAACTTGGGGCCTTCTGCATGCCAAGCATGCACAACTGATCTACAGGCCTTCTCCTAAACTTGGAAGGTTTGCTGTACTGTGCACTTTAAAGTAGCCATGATGAATCTAAACAGCACAGTACTAGGGCAAGCTTGTGTTTCATCTGCAGATGTTCCTTGGAACTTAGTACGCATATTTCTAGTTTTTGATAAGGCTGCTGGAGACCTTGGCTTCTTGATTAGAGGGGCAGTAAACGCTGCCATTCCATCTAAACAAATGAGTGAGCTCATTTTGTTTTGAAAAACAAGTTCAAAGCTGACTGGATGTATGTCAAAGCCCAGGAAATTGTAGATACGGTAGGACTGAAGTTTACTCCTCTGCTTTGCCTGGAAGGACACATGCCTCAGTCACGTCACTGATGTAGGTGGTTCTTTTGGGGGTGTGATTTTCTGGAGGTGTGGTTGGTTGGTTTCTTCCTTCCTTGCTTGCTATATCTGCTTCACTTTGTCTGGTGTGCTGTGAGGCTTGGATCATTGCCTTGAGGTAGGTAAGAACGGGTTGTTGGTTTCCCCCCATTTTTGTTAGGGACTTTAATTCATTTCCCAACTAGATGGGCTTGGGGAGGTGGGGTGGGCAGATGGGAGTTATATTTACTTTAATTACTTTGATAGTGCTAGTCGTCTTTGACGGGACTTAACTGGCCAGGGGTCCTTTACCTCTACCTTTTACCTTGCCACTTATTGGTACAAATCCAAATCATATTCAATTTAATTATATATGTATTTCTAATCTTGTATAAATTTCTATAGGCTTAATTTTCTATTTTCTGTGTAAATCCTATATTGGTCATGATATCATTTCATTTTCCGTTTCCACTAAGTTTTGTATATTATTAAAAAGAGTGATTTGTGTCTGCGTTTTTTTTAATGGTACAAGCTGTGGTGGTGCAAACTGTTTCACTGTGTTGCTATTGAGTAAAATCGAACCTTGATGGGGGGTTTTCATGGTGCAAGCTGTAATGGTGCAAGCGGTTTCACTGTATTGCTGCTGAGCTGTTTCACTGTGTTGCTACTGAGCAAAATTGAACCTTGATGGGCAGTTGATGAATGTGGCTTTGGCCAAGATTTGGGGGGGGGCTTTCATTGTGCCTTCATTGAATCAGTGGAGAGTGGAGGCTGTAGCAGCCCCTCTTTGCTTTGACAATGCTACTTATGAGTGCATGTGCAAATAACATTCAATTGCTAATAAGTGTGTGTGTGTGTGTGTGTGTGTGTGTACAGTATCAATTTCTATATATTCTATATTGGTCATTATGTTTCTTATATCCATAGAGTGGTTTGTTTCTGGATGGTTTGTTTTTTAAAAAAAAAATTGGTGCAAGCTGTGATGGTGGAAACTGTTTCACTGTGTTGCTATTGAGTAAAATCAAACCTTGCTGGCGGATTTTTTATGGTGCAAGCTGTAATGGTGCAAGTGGTTTCATTGTGTGGCTACTGAGCAAAATTAAACCTTGAGGGGCAGTTGATGAATGTGGCTTTGGCCAAGATTTGGGGGACCATCATTGTGCCTTCATTGAATCAGTGGAGAGTGGAGGCTTTAGCAGCCCCTCTCCAGAGATGCTGATGTGTTGGAAATGCTAGAGGCCATTTCACTGAACTGCCATCCAATAGTTTGAAACAGAGAAGGCTGCACATTTTTTCTGTTTGGGCTATTCTGCAGTGGTTTTGTGGTCTCCACAGGGGACAATTCTCGACACAATATTTCTGGCTCTGGGTCTCTTTCTCACCTCTCCCCCATCTCTTCTAGCTTTAACCACTCGCAAAGCCTACTGTCTTGGGATTGCAGAGGTCATTCCTTTAAGGTCACCCCTTTAAGGATCTCTTCTACAAGTATGTGAAAGTGGTGCATGTGTTGTTGTAGTAGATCTGCCTAGGAAGGGAGGTTAGGTGAAGGTGCTGTTGGGGAGGTGTCTTGTTTTGTGGAGAGGTCAGGATGAGAGCAAGGAGCCTTATAAGAAGGTGGCTGATGCTCAGGCTTCTTTGTAAGAGCCATGCAAGAGCAAATTAGTGGCCCTTCTAGTCCAGCAGTCTGTTCCCCTAGTGGCCAACCAGATATTTAGGGCAAAGTCCACAACAGGAACCGTGATCCCCAACAACTGGTTCTATTGAAAAACATGCTGTCTCTTTTCCAGGGGGAAATATTTAGCTGCCAATGGCCTTATTTGCCACAAATTTCTCTATTCTGTCCCATATGGCAGCCATCCCCTTATCTAGTGGCAGGGAGTTCCATCCTTCAGCAATGCAATGTTGTGTGGAAAAGTCCTTTCTCTGGTCTGCTTGTAATCTTCCACTCACCAGTTTCACTGTATGACCCCATTGGACATGACAAGAAGCCCCTCTCTCTCCAGTCTCTCCACTCCACATGCCATTTTATACACCACTAGCCTTAAAGTGCAGAATAAAGCCACAACACATTAAAGAAAGAAAAGAGAGACAAGCAGGAGAGAGGGAAGGAGGTGGGGGCTTGGCCAAAGTGAAGTGGAGATGTGAGGGAACGGGGGGATGGAGACGGGGAGCAGAGAGGGTCATCTGAAGGGGTCTTCTGAAGAGGCCTAAGAGTGGTGGCAAGAGGTTTAGTAAGAAATTGATGCATGAGATGTAAATAGATGGGTGAACCTTCCTTCACATCCTTTTCTCCTCTTTCAGTTGCAGAAATGCTGGAAGAGGCAATTGAAACCGCTCTCCAGGTTAGTATCTGTGGGAGCAGGTACAAGACCCCCCTCAGCACAGTCCCCCCCTTGCCTCCCCCCACCCACTAGCCCAGGAAAATGCCGGTTTTGATGTTTGTCTCCTGGGATCCAGGAGCAATCCCTCCCCCCCCCCCATGGCTTTCACAGGTGTGAGGTTGAGAAAGCCCATTCCTGATTAAAAACCTGACTTTTTCCACTTTCAGGATCTGGCCAGGGATTATTTTTTCCTCTTTTGTGTGCACTTCACATGTGATCAAACCCGTAATGTGGCTCCTGATGCCGTGGTGTATCAGAAAGATCCTGTGACTAAGGTCATTTTGGTAAGTGAGGTTCAGGATGAGAAATCCATTGGGGAGATGGGCAGAAGGGATGGGGGTGAGGTTTGGGGAATGGTCTGTGAAAAGGAAGTTTGTGGGTCTGGCAAAGAAGAAGAATTTGCAGGCATTTGGGACAGGCATTCCAACTGCAATTGAAGTCAACCCCTGAATCTGGGGCTGGAGCAGCCCCCCTGAATTCCATGGGGAACTAACTTTGCTCTTCTGCTCTTTGAACTCTTCTCAGGACATCATGGAGAGATGGTACATGTTTCCGGTCCCCTTCAAAGTATTGAAAAGGGGAATGAATGACGTCATCTGCCTCACGTATGTTGTTAGCATTGTTTGGGCAATTGGGAATTAGAAATGGCAAAGTGGGGTGTTTGTGAGCTGCTTGAGGAAAGGGCTGTCAGCAGCTGGCAATTTAGACTGAGAGGGAAGAATCAAAACACAGGGAAATAGCAGGGACTGAATAAATGGGCCAAGAGTGCCATCTTGAGCTTGACAACAAGCTGATAGGGTAGGCAGGATGGAGCAATGGAAGCTTCTGTCTCTAAAAAAGAAAAGAAAAATCATGGGTGGCTTTTATGCTGGATGTATCCCCTCCCTCAATCTCTCCCCTTCCTTAATGGAAGCTGGGACTTGATGGGTCAATAGGGAGCTGTCTGACATGGGATTAGTTTTTCAGTGGGTTGTGTAGCTTTTAAATGTACATGCTTGAGAGGTCCAAAATTAGAGGCTGTGGGGTTCCCAACAAGCCTGAAAATCATCCATAGGACTTTGGGAAATTCAATCTCATATTTTCTGCTTCATCGTGACAGCTTCGTGAGACCAGCATATGCGGTTGTTCGGAAAAGGGCCATCATCCGTGGGATGCTTCTTCCGATTGCTCACATTCCTGGACTGAGCAATCCTGACAGGGAGGTAAATTCTTTGTAGCTTTGATCATTACTCTTGACTTCTGTTGGTTCAATTTATCTCCTGAAAAGTTTGCACATCATTTCATTTCTTACTAATTTTTCAGCGAGACCATAAGCTTAGCTACACAGATAATGCTTTTGGTTTCACTGGGTTTTTTTAACGTCATCTCCATTCAGAAAGTGAATTTTGCCTCATTATTTGTCCATGAGTGAAAACTCTTAGTCTCATTTGAAGCTGGCATTTGTCTCTATTCTGCCAGTTTGCTTTAGTATCACCCTTATCCAAAGCTAAAAATCTGCTAACTATTCTCACCCCCCCCATGTCTTTCCACATCATCTCCTCCCATGAATCTATGAATCCACCTCTGTGAAAATGGTTTTCACCACCAGGCTCTCAAGCAGCTGTTTCATGCAATTGTGAGGCGCCTGCTGACTGAGGACCCAACCGCTCAGTGCCTAAGAACCCTCTTGGAAGTAAGTGTGTTGGTAGGACGAGGGTATTGTTTCATTTCAGCAGAGCCTGCTGGCATAAAAGCTTGATCAGGCAGCATCACAAACCCAGAACATGGGTGTCTCCTGACACGCTGGGGAAGGGCAGGCCACTCAGACAGGGGCCCACCCTTGTCAAGGCCCTTTCTTCAGTCTCCACCTGGGTGCAGCAGCCAGGGGGGGCCAAAGCAAATTTGGGGCTCAGTGACTTGGGAGATAGCCTTTTTGAGCTGTCTGGAACATTGAACAAAGGATCTCCCTCAGATAGTGGGGGAAAGTCCTCAGTGGAACTGGTAGCTTGCCTCTGTAGCTCAAACCAGCCCCCTGATACTAAGGTGCTTTTTCCTCCCACAGACGCTGGCCCATTTTTTCAATTCAGACGATGTGCTTGAAAGAGCGCTGGCTACAAGCAGTATCACCATCCTGCTGGCCAACGCTATGAAATACAATCATCTGACTGTAAGTATCTGTTTTATGGGCCAGAGAGGTTTCTCAAAGTGGCTTACAAAAGACTATCTCAGTGAAAGAGACATCCAAACCTGGTGTCGGGCAGAGAAGTAAACATGGTCTCCCAGTGTGTCCAGGATTATTCAGGTGGTAGTTTTTTGTGCACTTCTTTGGTGCTGCCCTTTGGCCTCCACCTACTAGGCAGCAGAGCCCACAGAGGTGGGCTTCCTTGGAGGCAAGGAAGTGGGGTTTAGTAGATGCTTTGGGGTTTTAAAAGGACCTAATTCAGACTTTTCTTCATTCTACAGCCTGGGGTCATAATAAGGGTCCTCCCCGAGGAGCTCACTCCACTGTTCCTAAACATCAGCGAAGGCAAGTACTCCATTCTGCAAGCACAGAACAAACCCACAGGGCTCACTCTCCACCCCAAAGCCTAACTGGGGTCTGAGGAGGGCTCACTTCTTGGCAGTAACACACCTGGTTGCTGTAACGCAGCTCAGGTTGAAATCCCAGCCCTGCCTCAAAGCCCCCAAGCAAGGTGGAGAGTGAACAGCTGTTCCCAGATGCCATGGGGATGCTGGCTCCAGGTGGTGGAGGCCGGTGACCCCCAATGGTCTGGCAATGGGGGTGGTGATGTTGGGGTGGGTAGCAGCCCCACTGGGCTTTGCCAGGGCATGGGAGGGGGCATTACCTGTCTAAGAATGCCCGGTGATAAGTCTGGGCCTGGTTGTAAGGAAGACTCACTTTTCTTATCTTCTTTTCCATCCAGCGGACGTCCAGGCTGTGATTCAGGATGTGTTCCCACCACTGAATGAGGCGTACTGAATCCTCTTCCCAAACCAGATTGATGTGTGTGGTGAAGAAGGAATCATTGTCTGGTGTTATCTGAAGACATTTGCCATTATCTGAGGGTGTTTGTCATTATCTGAGGGTGTTTGTCATTATCTGAGGGCATTTGCCATTATCTGAGGGCACTTACTATTATCTATGGGCATTTGTCATGATCTGAGGGCATTTGCCATGATCTGAGGGCATTTGCTATTATCTGAAGGCATTTGCCATTATCTGAGGGCACTTACTATTATCTGAGGGCATTTGCCATTATCTGAGGGTATTTCCCACTTTAAATAAAAATTGAATTTTGAGCAATTCTGAGCTTACATTTGTCTTTGTGATTTCTGTTCCATCACTTTACTTGCACCCCTGTGCTGTGGCTTAGAGGTTTCTTTCTGGGGTGGGGGGAGGAAAGAGACACTGATGGCAACTTCTGAGGGCGATTTAGATCAAATAAAAGGTTTGGGAGGGAAAGGTTAAAGCCCCCGACCACCACTGAAGCTGCCTCCCTAGTTGCTGCTTTGACTTTTTATAAAAAAGAAAGCATGGAGTATCCTGATCTTCATCATGTGTACCAACTTGAATTGTCTTTCCTCTCCGTATGAGCAGCAGAACGCTGTTCCACAATGATGCCACCTGGACAGGAGTTGCGGGCTGAAGCAGAATGGTCAGGAGCCGCAGGAGGGCAGGTGGCAGAGCACATTGCGAAGCTTTGATGGGAAGAGTCTGCCCTTTTTAAAGTCAGCAGGTGCAGACTTCCTCATCAGTACTTCTCTGGACTTCGGGGGAAAAGATGCAGCCGTGAAAAGCTGCAGAACAGGCAGGAGTATAGCAGGTGAAGGGTTTTTCTTGAGAGGAGTGGTGAGAAGGCCTGGCCTGTTACGTGGCCCTGAAGGTACAACAGCCCTGCCAAGGAAATGATGTATGGTAACATGAGAGAGGGAGGGAGAGATCCAAGGATGTGTTCTGTTGTTGCCTCTAGGATTTGCTCCGCAGAGAAGGATTCCTGGCTGCGTCAGTGTTACCTTTGTGGCACCAACTGAAGGCTTACATTTCCCAGGCTTTTAAGATGCCCTATGCAACTTTTCAATCTATGGGTGGCAGGCATTGCACACCAGCAATGGCCAGCTTATTTATTTTTTGTGAGGAAACTAAGAGGACTCATAACAACTCTAAGAACTCTGAACAAACTACACTTCTCAGGATCCTTGTCATTCTGGAAGGGTAATGGAGGGGTCTCCTCACAACTCTCAGCACCCTTAACTACATTTCCCAGCATTCTTTGGGGGAAGCCATGGCTTTTTAAAAGTGTTATTGCAGTGCTTTAATCAGGCATGGCCAAACCTGGCCCTCTAGCTGTTTGGGGACTACAATTCCCATCACCCCTGACCACTGGTCCTGCTATCTAGGGATGATAGGAGTTGTAGTCCCAAAACAGCTGGAGGGCCACGTTTGGCCATGCCTGCTTTGAATGCATGGTACGAATTTTGCTCAAGATCAGCAGAAAGGTACCCAGCACACAGCACACATGTTGGGGCCAGGCACCAGAGATATGGAGCTGGGGGTCTCCAATAGCACCTTCCTCTCTTTTGCTACTGGGGAACCTGCTGGAGGTACTGGCCTGCGTGCAACTTGGCTTTAACAGCGCTACTGTGACATACCCTCCAACATCCTGATGATGCCAATTGGGACAGGACCTGGACCCTCAACACACTTGCAATGCCTCCCCACCCCCTCTGGAAATACATCCACCTCCCCTTCTCACTGGACAGCTTCCCTTCTCTTCTTTGGGGCTCACCACTTTCCACATCCAACAACCCCACTGGTGGGCCCTGGCTTACCTTCGCTCTCCGCCATGACTGCTTCACCTCTCCTCCCCAACAGTAGTCACTTGCCTCCTCCACCCTCACCCTGTCCACAACACATACACTTGAGGGTCTTAGGGACTCTTCCGCCTTCCACCCAAAATTCTGAGTGGGGGGCCATGTGATGCGGAGGAGGCGGAAGAGGAGGGGTGGTGCAGCACCAAAAACTGTGCAGCTTTTTTTGGCAGGAGCCAACTGGCGGGGGCCCCAAGGCTGCTCATCAATATGGGCAGATTGATCTTGTCACCTTGGGGCAGTTTTATTCTTGTTCAAAGCAAACACTAACTTTCCCATTCATGAGCAGGGATTGGGGAGAACTTATATTTCATTCACATTTAAAGCCAGATCTATCAAATTCTCACCCTTGGAAACAATATGAGAACCAAAACACAACCATCCTTCAAAACTCACATTTATCCGAATTGCATGATGCAGTTTTACAGCCAAATAATGCTTCCAAAAATTCACATATTGAGGGGTAATGTGCACATAATTGATATATTAGTGAAAATGACATACAAAGACACATTATATTAAAAAAACCTATTGCAGAACAGGCAAGTGAAGGCAGGAGGAGCAAACGAAGCAATCGGTCAGTTGCCTGTGGTTGCATCTCAAGCAGGCCCTCCCCAAATGTTTCCAATTTCTTAATAGCACTGCGTCAAACCTTACAGCATTACTCAAGCATGCAGAATTATTTCAAAGAGGAATTTAAGTACAGTGGTACCTCGGGTTAAGTACTTAATTCATTCCGGAGGTCTGTACTTAACCTGAAACTGTTCTTAACCTGAAGCACCACTTTAGCTAATAGGGCCTCCTGCTGCTGCCACGCCGCCAGAGCACAATTTCTGTTCTTATCCTGAAGCAAAGTTCTTAACCTGAAGCACTATTTCTGGGTTAGTGGAGTCTGTAACCTGAAGCGTATGTAACCTGAAGCATATGTAACCCGAGGTACCACTGTATGTCATGAGACATTGAAAACTAGGTATAAAGCTATTTAACACATTAATAAGGCTTCTGGTCTGGACAAATAAATCAAACATGTAGTTGGGCAGATGCCTCTTCCATCAGTGCTTGCCATTGTAGTCCAGTAAGCTCCAGGAAAACAAAGCCACAGTACATGCCACTGAAATCCCATCAGGTTATCCATGTAGTTTGGTTCCAGTTCCATAGTTGGGGAAGATTTTTTTATTTTTTTCTAATTATTTTTATTGTCTTTTATAGATACAACAAACCCAGTGCTATTTTTCTAGAAAAAGAGGTGCTGGAAGTCACTATGAGTTCTCTTAGAATGGCAATGGCACCCACCTGAGAGGTGCTGGCAAATAGTTTCTGCATAGTGTACCAGAGCGGCTCAGACCACTCTGACATGCTTTGCAAAGGCCAGGTATTTTTCAATCATATAAAACAATTTCAAACCCCTATACAAATGGTTCCTGAACAACCCTGGAGGTGTGTTGGGGAGGGTTTTTCTTTTGAAATATGCACACTAGCTGGGATGAGGAAAGTGTGCCGCTATAAGAGGGAACCATCCATGGCTTTCTTTTAAGCAGCACCTCCCTGGCTGTGAGTTTTGAGAAGGCAGAGCCCTGAGGGGGAAACACTGTCAGGCCTTGCTGCTACCTCTGAAGGTTAGTGGATAGGAATGGCTCAGCGTTCCCATCCTGCCAATACTTGGGATGGAAGCGCTGCTGCTCTCCTAATTGAGAACATGCATGTTTGGAGGTTTGGGCTTTAGGGATTTCTGCAGAACCTGGAGAACAGAAGATATTGCAAAGGTGCTGGAATTCTCAGTAGGCAACATTAAGATCAGACTCTGTGTGTGTGTGTGTGTGTGTGTGTGTGTGTGTGTGTTTTGTTGGGGGGGGGGGACATCTGCGAACATTTATCCCCGAAGAGAAGTGGATACAAACTTCTCACTTTCCCTCTCCTGGGGTGTCTGCGTTGTAGACATAAACTTCTTTAACAGCCATTCCTTCTCCCCAAGGGACCCCTGGGAACTGTATTTCTGTTAGGGGGGCTGGGAAGGGTATCTGAAAATGAATTTTCACTTCCATCACCAAAGAATAAGTTTCAGGACAGTATTTAGGGTGTGGGTGTGTGGCAGTGGGAGGTAATGACAATGTTGGATGGCCAACTGACCAGAAAAAACTGACCTGGCCAGCTGCTGTGTTTTTAATGGCATCTTGGTCAGTAGAAACCAGCCGTTTTTCAGGACGTCAGCATTTTCATCTTTTAATGTCTGCAGGTCAAGCAGCTGTTTAAAGCACAAGAACAGGGGCCAGACAGAAAAGGCTGGCCATTCTGTCTGGAGGAGGCCACGTCAATTTATAGTGACATGAAAAGTAATACAGTTCCTAAAATGCACCTCAATGTACATAAATGTACCAACAGCAACTATTTTCAGGTTCTGCAGTCACTGCCTGGAGAGGTGACAGAATCCTGCTGCCTTGGTCCTCTTTCTCCTCACAACCTGCTTCTCCATGCCCCCCAGCATCCCATAAAGGAACACAGTAGTTGCACACAAGAAGGACATGGGGGCAATAGTCCTTTCCGGCTCTTCTTCCCCTGCAACTGTCATCCAGCTGCAGGGATGAAATCATGTCTGTTTTGGCTTCTCTCAGTTTCTCATTAATTCAAGTTCTGAATTTTCTTTTTAATAGTCCATGTGGAAACTCATCAGCATTTTAGTGTGAATTTCTTCCAATGCCTGCTCCCATCAGCCCCAGCCAGCCTGACGGTTCTGCTGAAGGGAGTTGCAGTCCAAAGCATCAGGAGAACATCAGACTGGTGAACGCTGATCTATAGACTGTTGCAGTTATTAATATTGCACAGTTTGAAGTGACTGGTTGCATAAAAAATGAATTCTTTTGATATGAAGCATTGTCTACCATGGGTAGGCAAACTAAGGCCCGGGGGCCAGATCCAGCCCAATCGCCTTCTAAATCCGGCCCGTGGATGGTCTGGGAATCAGCGTGTTTTTACATGAGTAGAATGTGTGCTTTTATTTAAAATGCATCTCTGGGTTATTTGTGGGGCATAGGAATTTGTTCTTTTTTTCTTTTTCTTTTTCAAAATATAATCCGGCCCCCCACAAAGTCTGAGGGACAGTATACCGGCCCCCTGCTGAAAAAGTTTGCTGACCCCTGGTCTAGACCCATTAGATTGTTCAGAACTTCCTCAAAACAGAACAGAAACATCAGATGATACATGCAAACAGTTCCATAAGGCATATGTCAGTCCAAGGTACAGACTCAGCATCTTACAAAACATGAAAGATTTATAACAGACCTAGCAGAAATCTGTCTCTCCTCACAGCCTGCATTCCAGCCTACTTCCTGCCTTAAACTATGCAGCTCCAGGAAAGTCATTTAAATCCTTATTCTCAAAGATTCTAAGAACAGAGAACTCCAGCCACCACCCTTCCAAGATGGTGCAATTCAGTAGCTCTCATGAAAT